TCTGCTAGAATAAAAGCAGAGTTGCAAAGATATGGTTGGAGAGTTTCGAAGAATTTTAAATATAGGAAGGGAAGACCCATAAAAGTCTATGACAAATTGTCTGGTCTTCGCTACAAAATGGATTTGGAAACAGCACGTGCCAATTATCCAAACAGACTAGAGAGGTTAGAAGAAGAACGTCTTATGGACATGCCTTTCGATGTTAGTGAACCTCAAGTTGAAGGACACGACGGCTTTGCCAGATTCTACTGGAAACATGACGAACAATTGCATCCTTTGAGAAGGAAAAAAGGAAAAGGTGAAGACGCACATGCTCCCATGGAAAGAACAAGATATGCATATGAAAAGTATCGTGAAGTTAGAAGTCAAATTACATCTGGTCGAACCTTTACAGTAAACTTTGACAAGGAAAGAACAAAGAAGGCTTCATGGGAGTACTTGCTGCAATTCAAGACGGAAATAAGAAAGGACACAATCTCAGATTGACCATAACAGATTTGGATGGTCACATTTACTATGCACATGGCAATGAACAAACAGCCGCAAAACTTCTTGACGCTTTCAAGACTACAAAGAGAGAACAAATGGTTGACTCCGACTCAGACATTTTGAATGCAATTGAAGGAATTGCAAGTGTCAAGTTCGAATGGTACCAACCTAACCCTCAAGCAGTCAGACAACATGCTGGATACTTCCCGTTCATAAATAAGTCTGACATTGACTTGACAAGGTATGGAATTTACAATTCAATTGAAACAATTGTCAACGAACCTTGCATTCTTACATGTCTCAGGAACTCTGGTCTTGTTACAGATGAGAAGATGAAGTATCTTGAGTCATGTGTGAAGACAAGGTACATTCTCAGAGGTCAATTGGCAAAAATTGCACCGTTGGCAAATGTCAATATCCGAGTCAACATACCTACAGCTAAAGGTTCTTCACATGACGACTATGTTGTTGACAAAGACTTACCATGGTTGAAGATTGTAATTGTCCACAACCACTTCATGTTGAACGAAAGTCTTACAAACCCATTCTTTGGTAAAAGTAAGTGCAACATTGTCAGAGCTGTAAACATTCTTTTCGAGAAAGGTTTGTTGGAACCAATTCCAGATGACAAGCTGACAGAAACTTTTGTACCAAAAGACGAAACAAACTTTTCATTGTTAGCAAGACCAAAAGTTGTTCCAGACAAAGTTCTAGTACAAAAGAAGTACACAGTTCCACAAGGGGTTGGTATGTTCGGATACCAACCTGAACCAGAAGAACTTCCAATGAGGTTGCAAGAACTTCAAGATGCTATAAACAAACTTCCATTGAGACATCCAATTGACGTCAAATTGTATTGGAGAGCATCTGAGTTAGGTCAGAAGGTTTTATATGAAACAGGTTGCTTCGACGATGTTTATGAGATAACAGGAGAAGTTTCTCAGAAGATAAGAGACTCAGTTGAATTTCCACAACTGACCAATTGGTTGCGACAAGTTCGACTCAGATGAAAAGATATACTATGTCGACCTTAACGCTGCATACATGAGGTTTGTCCAATATATTCCGACTGGAATTCCAAACGAAGATGGTGAGTTCCCGGAAGGAACTATACAGTTGGAAAAGTCATACAACAACTGTATGATATTAGGAAAGCTTCAAACCCCAAACTTGCAATGACACTCAAATTGCTTATGAATTCGACATGGGGATATTCCATTAAGAAACCTCAAGAGATGAAGAGTAAACATTATGAGAAGGTCGACAACTTTGTTGAAAGGTTTTCTCCTTTTGTTTTGAAGTACGAATTCACTCAAGGTCAAAGTGGCTTAGTAACCACATTAAAACCTATTGTCGAACATTGGTCTTACCCTCAGTTCGCAAAGGCAGTCCTTGACAACTACAATGAGTTCTTCTCGGAAGTCAAATCCAAAGTGAAGGTTTACTATGAGAACATTGACGCACTCATGACGAACGAAGAAGGATACAACAAACTCATTGAAATGGGAATGGTCGGTGAAAAGATGGGCTGTTTTAAGCTAGATAAAGTATTTTCCGAAGTTCATGTAATATCGAAAAGGAAATATTGGGGCATACTTGAAGACGGCACAGAAATAAAACATTGCATGAAGTAAAAAAATTTATTTTAAAAAAGTGACATTTTTTTTATTTTATTTGAAATGTACGCTGAGTTTGTTGGAGAAGACCGTTGGGAAACTTGTTTGTTAGATGAGAAATATGAAATGGCATACCATTTTAAAACAATATATTTTTACATATATTAAATGCTTCAGGTTGAAAAACAAAGAACAAAAGTAGCAGATACAAAACCGTTAGACTATATCTTTACAAATGCTGGTAGGACTATTTCAGATGAAAAAATTTCATCCCGAGCATACAGGTTTGACTATCCAATTCGTTGGCTTCAAAGTCCTTCAGATGCAAAGGCAATAGGATTTAGAAGAGTTTTGTTTTCAAATAGAACTAACGCATTTATTTCGCAGTATATTTTCATGGGCAGTATGAAGGTTCTGATGGTCTAATAGACAAATTTGACGAAATGAGAATCTTTACAGTTCGTTCAGACGAAAGTCTTGAGAAAACTCTAGATGACTTTCAAACTCAAATGAACAAATATTATTGGGAATTTCAAAAAAAATACGACTCTTTACTAAATGGAACATACTATCTGAAACTAGAATATGACAAGATGAACTCCACCGTTTCATTTCAAAAGATTGAAATTAACCCTCCAAGAGATACAGAGTTTTTATTTTGGGAAGTAGACAAACGTTCTTGGGCACAATTTCTTCGGTTACTAAACCAGAACGAACCATTACCACCAGATGGTCCATTTAAATTTATACTTCCACCAGCAGATTTGATGGTTTATAGAAACGTGTTTGACCCTCAAAATGTTATGTGTCATGCAAGTTTCAGTTCAAGCAACAATAGTTTTCTATGTATTGGTAAGGACTTTTATGACTTTGCTTCTAAATTCTACGAACCATCTAGTAACAGTTTCTCTGACTTTCAAGTTTGGTTCACAACAAATGGTGTGCAACATATTATTCCATTGTACTATGACTTTTATCTCGAATTGTCTTTCATATATAACTACGGAAAAGTGCTGAAAAAGTATTGAATGTGAAGATATTAGAAAATAACATTTTTTCTAACATCGTAGAAAACTCATGAAAACAATTTATTTTTGACACTTTCACAAAAAACATAAAAAAAGTGAGTTAAAATGAGATGTTTACTGAACTGGCTGAATGTCGCCTTCTGTAGTTATGTAGAATGGTTGACCAGAGAAGTGAAGGAGACCCTTGAGAATTTGGTTCATTCTTGGGAAAGGGTTCTCTCTGTTTGGAAGTAGTATCCAAGGACGCTTGGCAAAGAACTTTATAATGGCTTCTTTCTTTGCTTGCTTTATGTCGTCGTAGGCTGTCCCGTCTGGTATTTGAATTGGAATTCCAGTCGAAGTCTCGAGATTCAAGGCAGCCCTTCCCGTTATCCAACCGTTAACAAGCTTGCCTTTTACATTCTGCCTGAGGAAGTCTTTAACAAGCTCGTTAATTTCAATTAGGTAAATTGCCTCGTCGGTAGGTTCGACCTCGACCATTGCTACTGTCAGAAAAAGTACTGCTACTGTCAGAAAAAGTACTGCTACTGTCAGTAAAAGTACTGCTAGTAGCAGTAAAACTGCTGCTACTGTCAGTAAAAAGGAAAATTTGAGAGGGTTTTCGACGATAAAGTACTGCTACTGTCAGTAAAAGTACTGCTACTGTCAGTAAAAGTACTGCTACTGTCAGAAAAAGTACTGCTACTGTCAGAAAAAGTACTGCTACTGTCAGTAAAAGTACTGCTAGTAGCAGAGATTTTTATCGTTGTGGTCCGACGGTTAAGCCACAAACGAATGTCCGACGTCCCACCAACCGAGTCCATTCCCAAACCAGAGGAACCTAAAGAACCACAACAGTCTCCTCAGCAACCTCAGTTCCAGCAAGTACCTCCGAATTACTACCAATTTCCACCTCAAGGTTACTACCCACCACAAGGCTTCCCGAACTACCCTCCTCAGCCTATGCCTTACTGCCCCAACCCTTGGATGTTCCAGCAAGCTCCACCCCAGCAATTCCAATCTCAGTCCAAGAGAGACCAAGACTTCGAAGAAGGTCTGAACCGCTTACGCAAAGAGTATGCTACAGCTCCAATTGAGAGAAAGTTGTTCCCGGACCAAAAATATAATTTAGGTGAAGAGGTGAGATTTCACCTCTTTTTTCACCTGTTTTTTCACCCTCTTGAATTTTCATGAATTTTATATATTAATGTTTTCGTTAAGCCACTTTGTGCCGTCAGTCAGTCAGTCAGTCAGTTTAGGAAAGACTTTAGAAAGTTGTTGGAAAATAAGTCCTGGGAAGAGTATTATAAGGCATTTTGTGAAGAATATAGCAACCGCCGGAATTCGGACTGTTGCTTTTTATACAAAATTCATGCAGGAAATTCTTGAGTTTTGGTTGAAAGAATACGGTGGAGCCAAAATTGGCTCGACCTCAAAACAAGCATTTTATGAGCTTACAAAGGGTGTTATGAATGAATTCAAAGGTATTTACATACATCCTGACCTCGTTCATTTTGTTGCTGAATTCAGCAAAAATATAATTTAGGTGAAGAGGTGAGATTTCACCTCTTTTTTCACCTGTTTTTTCACCCTCTTGAATTTTCATGAATTTCCTTAAGATAGAAAAAATAAAGTTAGTTTTATTTTTATTTATTTTTTTATTTTGTATGTAAGAACAGATATGTCAACAATCGGCACAACAACAATTCAAACAACAGCACCAAACTTGTTAGTCATGAATCCAACATCTATGTTAGTAGAAATGAAAAGCTTCATTCCTTCTTCATATACTTTCGAAACAGAAATACAAAGAATAAAGCAGGAACTTTTAACAAGTAATTTAGACTGTAGTGCGAAAGATGAAACAAATGAACAGTATCTTTATGAAATGGAGGACCTCATCGACCATTTGCCTAAACTACCTGAAATTCAGCAGCAAAAACTAACTATTCCTGAATTCGACGAAATTGAAGTCAAAGCAACTGACTCAGTAGAAATAAAGAAGTTCATACGAAAGGTAAATTATGAATTCCTTGGTTTTCATTGCAACCATAAAGTTATGGACAAAGATTGCGACATGGTATATAAGAACATCTCTGACATATATAAATCTGGTGAGTTTAAGACATACGACAACTTTGTTTCATTAGCTGCAAAATGTGTATGGCAGATAAGAGATAAAGATAGAAGAGGTAAGGTATGGAATGAACAGATAAAACCAACTGCTTCAGATTTAAAGAAAACCATTGACGCCTTGGTTGTTTTAGCAGGTAAGGTTTCAGAATATAACGCAAAAATGAACCCGCAATGTTCTAAATGTAAAGCAGCAATGAGGAAATATAACTACTCCGTCAAAGAGATAGAAAGAATGCGAAACGACTATGCAGACTTAAAGAAAGAAGCAGAAAAGCCAGCAGAAAATAAAATGGACATGTTAGAATTTCTGAACAAAAACTATCCAACTGCTGACGATTTCCTTCTATCTGACGTCAAGAAGAAGTATAAAGAAACCTTCAGCATTGTTAAAACATTCGATGTACTAAAAGAAGAAATAGAAGCTACGAAACTGTTTAGGATTTCAAATATACATCGTACAATTCATGTAAAACGCTTATAAAATAACTGGGGTGAAAATTAGGTGAAAAAAGAGGTGAAATCTCACCTCTTCACCTAAAATATATTTTTATTGAATTCAGCAACAAAATTCTGAGTAAAATAATTTTTAGGGCATGTGTCAAACCGTTGAGTTTTCACAAAATTTAAAAAATAACGTTTACCATGTGAAACGTTTATAAAATAACTGGGGTAGAAATGAGGGTAGATATCGGGTTAGATCTAACCATCTACCCTAAAATATATTTTTATTGAATTCAGCACAAAAATCATGAATTTCCTTAAGATAGAAAAAATAAAGTTAGTTTTATTTTTATTTATTTTTTTATTTTGTATGTAAAGACAGATATGTCAACAACAGAGAACACAACAACAGTTATAGTCCATGAAGCTATAAATGAAGAATACGAGTACATACAGTTTAACAAACAACTCCGTCTCATTCGTTCAGTCAAAGACGATATGTACCAAATGCAAAGTATTTTGACAGCATGTTTTGCACCCGACAATAAGAAACCACAAGACTGGTTTAGGAACCAAAGCACTATTGAACTATTAAATGAAGCTGAAAATTCGACTACGAGAAAAATTGCCAAACGGTTTGAGAGGATATTATGTACATAGACTTCTTGTAAATGTGTAATAAACAGAAATTCATCAAAAGTGACAGCTCTCAATTTTTAGACATTTGTAAATTCTAAATTGAATGAGAAAAATGAAATAATACTAAGCATAATACAATATTCTAGATTTAATTATAATTAGGAAAAAGTTAGTTTTGAGAGTACTTTTCATAGGCATATAGAATGAAATCTTCTGAAAAATAATATCACATAAACTCATATTATTTTCTAATATATAACTATTTTATATAAAAATCAAATTCAATGATCTTAAAAGCGAAGGATAAACCTCAAAAATTACGAATATAATGAGTGGGAATATAATGCTTATCTATCATAAAACCATATGAAATATTAATTTTTGCTTTACGCCTAATTTTTGACGACAATTAGCAAAAAATGTTAAATGTTAACACTCAGTCCATTTGAATATGAAAAATAAAATTGACTTTGATTAAATGTTTTTATTTATCATGCAATTCTTCTTGCGACCGGGGCGGCGACAAATTTGCCCAGCCAGTATAGTATTCAATTTTTTTGCATTTTTTTAAGGGTGCACACGAGAGGATCATGTAAACTTCAGAATATAGCTTCTTAAGGGTGCACCCATATGTACGTTTATTTGAGAGGAGGAGGATTACCCTCTCAATTTTGAGGGATTCGTTAGTTTATTTTCTCGATGAATATGCAATAAAATTTGATTTTTACCTTATCAATATACTTCATCTAATATACACATGTTCATGTAAAAACTTTTTTCCAAAATCCTCAGGAATTAAGGGATTTTTGAATTTTAAGAATTTTTTTCGAATGTTTTCGAAAAAAAAAATATTTTCAGAACAGCCTTAACGGCTAAGATTTAGGAACAATGTTAAGTATCAAAAAGAAAGGAGGTCTGATATAGACACATATATCGTTGAAGGTTGAAAAAATCTCTAATATTTGAGCCCAAAATTTCAAATTTTAATTTTTTGAAAAAAGAGGCCACCCGTATGTACGTTTATTTGAGAGGAGGAGGATTATATTTTTGAAAGGGTGAAACATTATGAATATGTTAATTATATAATAATATGTATTATTATAAAAAAGAAAAAATAAAGCACGTTAAAATTTTTCTTTCTTGATTTTTTACAAAATCTACTTAGAATTATGCAAAATATGACTAAATAATTATAAATTTCAAGTTAAATTTTAATTTTGATAAATAATTTAAATTTCAAAATATCAAGTTCAGTTCGACTATGTATGTAGTAATTCCTCAATAAAGTGCCAAAACCCTATTAAAATATATAAACATTTTCAACATTTTAATGTTTTTTATTTAAAAATTTGATGGAATATGAGCTTCAAACAATTATTATGTAAATAAAAATAATTAAATATAATGTATTTATTCGTATTACAACCGTAGTAAGTCGATTCTTCCTTTCTTCTACTGAGTTTTGAATTTGATTTCGAATTGTAAAGAGATTCAAAGGGAAAATACTAGCGGATAAAAACTACCTCCATGAAAGGGTCATAATGGAGTCAAGTTGTATTTTTTTGATATTTTTTTGCTTTTCGAGCCTAAATAGGTAGCCAAGATAATGCCTAAAAATAAGGTTCTAAATTCTGAAGTTTACATGATCCTCTCGTGTGCACCCTTTAAAAAAATGCAAAAAAAAGTAATAAAATAAAAAAATTTTTAGTATCGATAATCTGAAATATGTTGTTTACTTAAGCCGCTCGCTTCGCTCGCGGCTTAGTTTCGTAGTTTCGTACAATCTTTTTTCGAATCTGTTCTTTTCTTAAGCCGCGAGCGAAGCGAGTGGCTTTTTATTTTTTTTAATTTTTTTTCTTTCTTACTTTTTTTTTCCCCTTACTTACAAATTTGATAGTAACTTACTAAATCTCTCTATCATATAATAATAAATTAATCCATTTTTTGTTTCAAATCTGACACTTTACATTTCTGACATGTAAACCCGTCACTTTTCACTTCACCTCACTGGGCAAGTTTGTGCCCCCCTCTTAAATGTTAACACTCAGTCCATTTGAATATGAAAAATAAAATTGACTTTGATTAAATGTTTTTATTTATCATGCAATTCTTCTTGCGACCAAAGATTTGAATAAAAGTTCAAAAAATAAGATAGCTTAAAAAATAATATACGGTAGTGTTTACTAATAGATGAATAGTATATAAATTCTATTAAAATGGATTTGATCCAAAAAATATATAAAATTTGATCATAAATAAAATCGTTTTAAATTACTTCTTCATTTAAATTATAACAATTATTTTTGGTTTTATATTTTTTTGGATCAAATCCATTTTAATAGAATTTATATACTATTCATTATTAGTAAACACTACCGTATATTATTTTTTAAGCTATCTATTTTTTGAAATTTTATTCAAATCTTTGGTCGCAAGAAAATTGCATGATAAATAAAAACATTTAATCAAAGTCAATTTTATTTTTCATATTCAAATAGACTGAGTGTTAACATTTAACATTTTTTTGCTAATTGTCGTCAAAAATTAGGGCGTAAAGCAAAAAATTAATATTTCATATGGTTTTATGATAGATAAGCATTATATTCCCACTCATTATATTCGTAATTTTTGAGGTTTATCCTTCGCTTTTAAGATCATTGAATTTGATTTTTATATAAAATAGTTATATATTAGAAAATAATATGAGTTTATGTGATATTATTTTTCAGAAGATTTTGTGTTCTTCTTCAAAATTTTATTTTTTTATTAAAAAGAATCTTTACGAAATATACATTTACTTTAATTAATATTTAAAAACGTGCTCTATCAAAAGTTCCAAAAATTCAATATTTTAGCTTTTCTGAGGTGTCACTTTTGATGAATTTCTGTTTACAACAAATGCTGTTGCAATGTGGGCTTCGCCTCGTTATGCTTGGTATATTTACAGACTTCTTGACGAAATTCATAGACAAGAACGTGAAGAGATGGAAAACAAGCTTGAAGCAAAAGACAAAAGCATTCAGAAAAGAATACCACGTTCGGTACCAAAAGGTAAGGAAAAGAACTATAAGTATATGATTTATACTGAAGAGATGGAAAATGAAGAAGATAAAGATATGGTTATGTTGCATTTAGTCAGAAGAAACAACAAAAGCTTTTACGACCTTGCTAAGATTTACAAATCTGACAGAAATTGGTTCTATCGCGAAAACTTACCGATTTCAATGACCCCAAATGAAGATGTGAAACAAATAGTTCAAGATACGTTACCTCAAACACACTATGATATGAAAGGTTGTACAATACTTACCTTCAAAGAAGACTTACCGCTACTGAAAGAAAAAATAACAGAGTATTTTGACAACTTCAAACATGTAGGGTAGATGAACCATTTATTTTTATTGACTTTTTACAATTTGAACTTTGTTTGCGTAGATATGAATTCTGAAAGAAGTATGAGGGTCTTGTATGACTTTGTACTTCTCCCATAGTTCATGTCTGTCAAACTTACCTGCCATGGACTCTTTCATAAGTTCCATGAAATCGTCTTCGGACAATCCGGGGAAAAGTATTATGTCAGTAAGTATTCTCTTTACATCCTTACTTAAACTCTTTGCTGTCTGTACACAAATGACAACTGAGATGTTAAAGTGTCTGAGCTTCTTAAGAATTCGACACATATCTTGTTCTCTGTTCTTTAACAAAGGATGAGAAGCAAAGTCATCTAAGATAAGAAGACATCTATGAGGGTAAGTCTTCCAATCGTAAGATTGCAATTTCTTCGAAATGTATTCTATCTCTTTCTGTTGTTTCTGAAGTGTTTCTTCTCTAATATTCTCTGCATTTCCTCATTTGGTCTTTGAACTTAGAATTTATATACTCATTTATAGCATTATACTTCAAAACTCTTCTTTGGTACTTCTTTATCCAATCTAACAACTCAGTATCTTTATACATACTAACTTAGACTTCTTTATAATATCTTTGAACGAATTGACGGTTTGGTCAAATTGACCAGAAGTCGAACAAATAACAACTAACTCATAGAATGGGTTCTTCTCATCTAGTTCTTGTTGTTGTGCAGCCATTTTAAGATAAGTGAAAGTCTTACCAGACCAGGTGGAGGTTAGAAGAAAGAACGTCTTATTGGACATGCCTTTCGAATGATTAGTGAACCTCAAGTGAAGGACACGACGGCTTTGCCAGTTCTACTGGGAACATGAACGAACAATTTGCCATCCTTTGAGAAAGGGAAAAAGAAAGGTGAAGACGCACATGCTCCCATGGAAGTAACAAGATATGCATATGAAAAGTTATCGCTGAAGTTAGAAGTCAATTAATCTGGTCGACCTTTACAGTAAACTTTGGACAAAGGATAAGAACAAAGAAGGCTTCATGGGAGTACTTGCTCAATTCAAGACGGAAATAAGAAAGGACACAATTCTCAGATTGACCATAACCAAGATTTGGGATGCGGTCACATTTTACTATGCACATTGGCAATGAACAAACAGCCGCAAAACTTCCTTGACGCTTCAAGACTAACAAAAGAGAGAACAACATGGTTGACTCCGAACTCAGAACATTTTGAATGCAATTGAAGGGAATTGCAAGTGTCAAGTTCGAATGGGGAACCAACCAACCCTCAAGCAGTCAGACAACATGCTGGATACTTCCCGTTCATAAATAAGTCTGACATTGACTTACAAGGATGGAATTTACAATTCAATTGAAACAATTGTCAACGAAACCCTGCAATTCTTACTATTCAGGAACTCTGGTCTTGTTACAGATAGAAAGATGAAGTATCTTGAGTCATGTGTGAAGACAATGGTACATTCTCGAGTCAATTGGCCAACAAATTGCACCGTTGGCAAAGTGTCAATTATCCGAGTCAACAATCCTAACAGCTAAAGGTTCTTTCCCATGAAAACTATGTTCGTGACAAGACTTTACCATTGGTTGAAGATTGTAATTGTCCACAAACCACTCATGTTGAACGAAAGTCTTTACAACCCATTCTTTGTAAAATAAGTGCAACATTGTCAGAGCTGTAATACAATCTTTTCGAGAAAGTTCTGTTGGAACCAATTCCAGATATACAAGCTTGACAGAAACTTTGTACCAAAAGACGAACACAAACTTTTCATTGTTAGCAAGACGGCAAAAAGTTGTCAGACAACAGTTCTAGTACAAAAGAAGTACTACAGTTCCACAAGGGGTTGTATGTTCGGATACGCACTCTGAACCAGTAAGAAACTTCCAATGAGGTTGCAAGAAACTTCAAGAATGCTATAAACAAACTTCCATGAGACACAAAGTTGACGTCAAATTGTATTGAGAGAGATTCTGATTAGGTCAGAAGGTTTTATATATGCAACAGGGTTGCTTCGACGATGTTTATGAGAATAACAGGAGAGTGTTTCTCAGAAGCATCAGAGACTCAGTTGAATTTCCACGACTTAGAACCATTGGTTGCACAAGTTCGACTCAGATGAAAAGATATACTATGGTCGAACTTAACGCTGCATACATGAGGTTTGTCCAATATATTCCGACTGGAATTCCAAAACGAAGATGTGGAGTTCCTGGAAGGAAAAAATCCATACAGTTGGAAAGTCATTACAACAACTGATGATATTAGGAAGCTTCAAACCCATAACTTGCAATGACACTCAAATTGCTTATGAATTCGACATGGGGGAATATTCCATTAAGAAAACCTCAAGCAGATGAAGAGTAAAACATTTATGAGGAAGGTTCGACAACTTTGTTGAAAGGTTTTCTCTTTTGTTTTGAAGTACGAATTCACTCAGGTCAAAGTGGCTTAGTAACCACATTAAAACCTATTGTCGAACATTGGTCTTACCCTCAGTTCGCAAGGCATCCTTGACAACTACAATGAGTCTTCTCGGAATGTCAAATCCAAAGTGAGGTTTACTATGAAACATTGACCCACTCATGACGAACGAAGAAGGATACAACAAACTCATTGAAATGGGAATGGTCGGTGAAAAGATGGCTGTTTTAAGCTAGATTAAGTATTCCGAAGTTCATGTAATATCGAAAAGGAATATTGGGCGCCATACTTGAAGACGGCACAGAAATAAAACATTGCATGAAGTAAAAAATTTATTTTAAAAAAGTGACATTTTTTTTATTTTATTGAAATGTACGCTGAGTTTGTTGAGAAACCGAGTTGGGAAACTTTTTGTTAGATGAGAAATATGAATGGCATACCATTTTAAAACAATATATTTTTACATATATTAAATGCTTCAGGTTGAAAACAAAAGAACAAAAGTAGCAGATACAAACCGTTAGACTATATCTTTACAATGCTGGTATGGACTATTTCAGATGAAAAAATTCATCCGAGCATACAGGTTTGACTATCCAATTCGTTGGCTTCAAAGTCCTTCAGATGCAAAGGCAATAGGATTTAGAAGAGTTTTGTTTTCAAATAGAACTAACGCATTTATTTCGCAGTATATTTTCATGGGCAGTATGAAGGTTTGATGGTCTAATAGACAAATTTGACGAAATGAGAATCTTTACAGTTTCGTTCAGACGAAAGTCTTGAAGAAAACTCTAGATGACTTTCAAATCAAATGAACAATATTATTGGGAATTTCAAAAAAATACGACTCTTTACTAAATGGACATACTATCTGAAACTAGAATATGACAAGATGAACTCCACGTTTCATTTCAAAAGATTGAAATTAACCCTCAAGAGATACAGAGTTTTTTATTTGGGAAGTAGACAACGTTCTTGGCACAATTTCTTCGTTACTAAACCAGAACGAACCATTACCACCAGATGGTCCATTTAAATTTATACCTCCACCAGCAGATTGATGGAGTTTATAGAAACGTGTTTGACCCTCAAAATGTTATGTGTCATGCACAGTTTCAGTTCAAGCAACAATAGTTTTCTATGTATTGGTAAGACTTTTATGACTTTGCTTCTAAATTCTAACGAACCATCTCAGTAACAGTTTCTCTGACTTTCAAGTTTGGTCACAACAAATGCGTGTGCAACATTATTCCATTGTTACTATGACTTTTATCTCGAATTGTCTTTCATATATAAACTTACGGAAATGCTGAAAAAAGTATTGAATGTGAAGATATTAGAAAATAACATTTTTCTAACATCGTAGAAAACTCATGAAAACATTTATTTTTGACACTTTCACAAAAAACATAAAAAAAGTGAGTTAAAATGAGATGTTTACTGAACTGGCTGAATGTCGCCTTCTGTAGTTATGTAGAATGGTTGACCAGAGAAGTGAAGAGACCCTTGAGAATTTGGTTCATTCTTGGAAAGGGTTCTCTCTGTTTGGAAGTAGTATCAGGACGCTTGGCAAAGAACTTTATAATGGCTTCTTTCTTTGCTTGCTTTATGTCTCGTAGGCTGTCCCGTCTGGTATTTGAATTGGATTCAGTCGAAGTCTCAGATTCAAGGCAGCCCTTCCCGTTATCAACCGTGTTAAACAGCTTGCCTTTTACATTCTGCCTGAGGAAGTCTTTAACAAGCTCGTTAATTTCAATTAGGTAAATTGCCTCGTCGGTTAGGTTCGACCTCGACCATTGCTACTGTCAGAAAAAGTACTGCTACTGTCGAAAAAGTACTGCTACTGTCAGTAAAAGTACTGCTCGTAGCAGTAAAAACTGCTGCTACTGTCAGTAAAAAGGAAATTTGAGAGGGGTTTTCGACGATAAAGTACTGCTACTGTCAGTAAAGTACTGCTACTGTCAGTAAAGTACTTGCTACTGTCAGAAAAAGTACTGCTACTGTCAGAAAAGTACTGCTACTGTCAGTAAAAGTACTGCTAGTAGCAGAGATTTTTTATCGTTGTGGTCCGACGGTTAAGCCACAAACGAATGTCGACGTCCCACCAACCGAGTCCATTCCCAAACCAGAGGAACCTAAAGAACCAACAGTTCTCCTCAGCACCTCAGTTCCAGCAGAAGTATCCTCCGAATTAACTACCAATTTCCAACCTCAAGGTTACTACCCACCACAAGGCTTCCCGAACTACCCTCCTCAGCCTAATGCCTTACTGCCCAACCCTTGGATGTTCAGCAAGCTCCACCCAGCAATTCCAATCTCAGTCCAAGAGGAGACCAAGACTTCGAAGAAGGTCTGAACCGCTTACGCAAAGAGTATGCTACAGCTCCAATTGAGAGAAATGTTGTTCCCCGGACCAAAAATAAATTTAGGTGAAGAGGTGAGATTTCACTCCTTTTTTTCACCTGTTTTTTCACCCTCTTGAATTTCATGAATTTTATATTTAATGTTTCGTTAAGCCACTTTGTGCCGTCAGTCAGTCAGTCGTCAGTTTAGGAAAGACTTTAGAAATTGTTGGAAAATAAGTCCTGGGAAGAGTATTATTAAGGCATTTTGTGAAGAATATAGCAACCGCCGGAATTCGGACTGTTTGCTTTTTATACAAATTCCATGCAGGAAATTCTTGAGTTTTGGTTGAAAGAATACGGTGGAGCCAAAATTGGCTCGACCTCAAACAAGCATTTTAATGAGCTTCACAAGGGTGTTATGAATGAATTCAAAGGTATTTACATACATCCTGACCCTCGTTCATTTTGTTGCTGAATTCAGCAAAATATATTTAGGTGAAGAGGTGAGATTTCACCTCTTTTTTCACCTGTTTTTTCACCCTCTTGATTTTCATGAATTTCCTTAAGATAGAAAAATAAAGTTAGTTTTATTTTTATTTATTTTTTTATTTTGTATTAAGAACAGATATGTCACAATCGGCACAACAACAATTTCAAAAACAGCACCAAACTTGTTGTCATGAATCCAACATCTATGTTAGTAGAAATGAAAGCTTCATTCCTTCTTCATATACTTTCGAAACAGAAATACAAGAATAAGCAGGAACTTTTAACAAGTAATTTAGACTGTAGTGCGAAAGATGAAACAAATGAACAGTATCTTTATGAAAATGGAGGACCTCATCGGACCATTTGCCTAAACTAACCTGAAATTCAGCAGACAAAAACTAACTATTCCTGATTCGACGAAATGAAGTCAAAGCAACTGACTCAGTAGAAATAAAGAGTTCATACGAAAGGTAAATTATGAATTCTTGGTTTTTCATTCAACCATAAAGTTATGGCAAAGATTGCGGACATGGTATATTAAGAACATCTCTGACATATATAAATCTGGTGAGTTTAAGACATACGACAACTTTTGTTTCATTAGCTGCAAAATGTGTTGGCAGATAAGAGATAAAGATAGAAGAGGTAAGGTATGGATGAACAGATAAAACCAACTGCTTCAGATTTAAAGAAAACCATTACGCCTTGGTTGTTTTAGCAGGTAAGGTTTCAGAATATACGCAAAATGAACCCGCTATTTCTAAATGTAAAGCAACAATGAGGAAATATAACTACTCCGTCAAGAGATAGAAAGAATGCGAAACGACTATGCAGACTTAAAGAAAAGAAGCAGAAAAGCCAGCAGAAAATAAAATGGACATGTTAGAATTTCTGAAACAAAACTATCCAACTGCTGACGATATCCTTCTATGCAGTAACGTCAAGAAGAAGTATAAAGAAACCTTCAGCATTGTAAAACATTCGATGTACTAAAAGAAGAAATAGAAGCTACGAAACTGTTTAGGATTTCAAATATTACATCGTACAATCATGTAAAACGCTTATAAATAACTGGGGTGAAAATTAGGTGAAAAAAGAGGTGAAATCTCACCTCTTCACCTAAAATATATTTTATTGAATTCAGCCAACAAATTCTGCAGTAAAATAATTTTGAGGGCATGTGGTCAAACCGTTGAGTTTTCACAAAATTTAAAAATAACGTTTACCATGTGAAAACGTTATAAAATAACTGGGGTAGAAATGAGGGTAGATATCGGGTTAGATCTAACCATCTACCCAAAATATATTTTTATTGAATTCAGCACAAAAATCATGAATTCCTTAGATAGAAAAATAAAGTTAGTTTTATTTTTATTTATTTTTTTTTTGTATATTTGTGTAAGACAGATATGTCAACAACAGAGAACACAACAACAGTTAGTCCATGAAGCTATAAATGAAGATACGAGTTAATACAGTTTAACAAACAACTCCGTCTCATTCGTTCAGTCAAAGACGATATGTACCAAATGCCAAGTATTTTGACAGCTGTTTTGCACCCGACAATAAGAAACCACAAGACTGTTTAGGAACCAAAGCACTATTGAACTATTAAATGAAGCTGAAAAATTCGACTACGAGAAAAAATTGCCAACGGTTTTGAGAGGATATTATGTACATAGACTTCTTGTAAATGTGTAATAAACAGAAATTCATCAAAAGTGACAGCTCTCATTTTTAGACATTTGTAAATTCTAAATTGAATGAGAAAAATGAAATATACTAAGCATAATACAATATTCTAGATTTAATTATTTAATGGAAAAAGTTAGTTTTGAGAGTATTTCATAGGCATATAGAATGAAATCTTCTGAAAAATAATATACATAAACTCATCATTATTTTCTAATATTAACTATTTTATATTAAAAATCAAATTCAATTGATCTTAAAACGCGAGGTAAACCTCAAAAATTACGAATATAATGAGTGGGATATAATGCTTATCTATCATAAAACCATATTGAATATATAATTTTTGCTTTACGCTAATTTTGACGACAATTAGCAAAAATGTTAATGTTAACACTCAGTCCATTGAATATGAAAAAAAAAATTGACTTTGATTAAATGTTTTTATTTATCATGCATTTCTTTTGCGACCGGGGCGGCGACAAATTGCCCGCCAGTATAGTATTCAATTTTTTTTGCATTTTTGGTGCACACGAAGAGGATCATGTAAACTTCTAGATATTAGCTTCTTAGGGTGCACCCATATGTACGTTTATTTGAGAGGAGGAGGATTACCTCTCAATTTTGAGGGATTTCGTTAGTTTATTTTCTCGATGAATATGCAATAAAATTTGATTTTTACCTTATCAATATACTTCATCTAATATACACATGTTCATGTAAAAACTTTTTTCCAAAATCCTCAGAATTAAGGGATTTTTGAATTTAAGAATTTTTTTCGAATGTTTTCGAAAAAAAAAATATTTCAGAACAGCCTTAACGGCTAAGATTTAGGACAATGTTAAGTATCAAAAAGAAAAGGAGGTCTGATATAGACACATATATCGTTGAAGTTGAAATAAATCTCTAATATTTGAGCCCAAAATTTCAAATTTTAATTTATTTGAAAAAAGAGGCACCCGTATGTACGTTTATTTGAGAGGAGGAGGATTATATTTTTGACAAGGGTGAAACATTATGAATATGTTAATTATATAATAATATGTATTATTATAAAAAGAAAAATAACAAGCACGTTAAAATTTTTCTTTCTTTGATTTTTTACAAAATCTACTTAGAATTATGCAAAATATGAGACTAAATAATTATAAATTTCAAGTTAAATTTTAATTTGATAAATAATTTAAATTTCAAAATATCAAGTTCAGTTCGACTATGTATGTAGTAATTCCTCAATAAAGTGCCCAAAACCTATTAAAATATATAAACATTTTCAACATTTTAATGTTTTTTATTTAAAAATTTGATGGAATATGAGCTTCAAAACAATTATTATGTAAATAAAAATAATTAAATATATGTATTTATTCGTATTACAACCGTAGTAAGTCGTTCTTCCTTTCTTCTACTGAGTTTTGAATTTGATTTGAATTGTAAAGAGATTCAAAGGGAAAATACTAGCGCGATAAAAACTACCTCCATGAAAGGGTCATAATGGAGTCAAGTTGTATTTTTGATATTTTTTTGCTTTTCGAGCCTAAATAGGTAGCCAAGATAATGCCTAAAAATAGCTAGGTTCTAATATAAATTGTTACTGGAATAACACTGAGGGAGGAGGAACCATACACATCGCGTTTCAGGATATACGCAAACAACGGGACAAAGTAAAGAATACATGCCACCTTACATGACAGTTTACGCATGGTATAGAAATGCTTAGTCGTCATTTTCAACTTCTTTAGCATATTCGTCAGGAGTTGTCTTATATTTGTTAGGAACTGTCTTTGAAAGTATACCACCTTGAACTTTGACAAGTTTGAAACGAGGTCTGACAATAGTAGTTTTATCTTCTGCTTGCAGTGTGTACATTTTGCCATGTTTGCCTAAAACTTCATAATATTCTCTTGTATACTTTCTTCTATTTTTACGAACACGAATGTGAGTACCTGTCGGGTTCCCATTGTTGTCATAGTCAATAGTATTTTCATATGGGTCGCGTTTAGGTATTTCTATTTTTACTTTGTCACCTTTCTGAAGTTTGAAGCCCGGCATTCTTTCTTGTTTGTCTCTTTTGACTAAATTATTAAATATATAGTCTTTCTCTAAGTCAGGGTTGTTTTTCATTTCTTCGGGGGAGTGGTTTCCCAAACCTTTTTGTTTACGGCTATTGTAAATATTTAAAACTTGTCTCATCTTTGCCATGGAGAAGTGTCTATATTTGTCGTCATATGACATTTCATTTGCTTCACCACCTTGTGGTTGGTTTAAGTCTCTTAACATTTTTATACAACCGTCAATGACACCAAGAGCAGAATGGTTTTGGTCGACAATGAAATATTGGTTTACATTTTTTGAACGCAGATAGTTTTTTACATCATCTGATTTGAAAGAACTTTCACAGTCAGATGTCAGTTTTGTTGGATGGTATTTGTCAACGAATATTGTCAAAGCAGTTTTCACATCTAAAATATTTTTGGACCATAATGGTATGGCTTCACAGTATCTTGTGTTTTGACCGACAAATATTAGCCAGTATGGTGGTCCATCTGTTCTAACTCTCGGAATGTTTTCCAAGATATCCATAAACCAAGCATTTGGTGTTGAACTAAAGATTTTTATCATGAGTGCTTTCTTTGTCGCTTTAGAAACATAGGGGTCCTTGTTTGGATTCGTCATTTTTTATCCTATAAGAAATGGGTTTATTTGGCGCATTAGCAGGAGTTGCATCCAGATTTTTGCCCGCAGTGGGAACAATAGCCAGAGGTGTATTTGGAGTTGGAAGGAAGATTTTGAGTACATTAGGTATACTTAAAGAGAAAGCACAACCTATTATACAAACTGTACAGAAAGGTTGGGATGTAGCACGAGATGCAACAAATCTTATTCCAAATCCTGAAACAAGAGGAAAAGTTCAAGGATGGATGGACAATGTAGGAAGACAAGCAGGAAACTATTATAACAAAGCAAATGACTACTATACCAAGCAGGACACTATATGGACCAAGGTGAAAGATTCTTTAACAGAGGATATAACCATGCACAACAGTGGGTAAACAATAACCAACCTCAACCGCCTCAAGTGGGAATGTAAATTTTTTACTGAGATGAAATGAACAATACAGCATTGAGACAAATGGGTTCAAGATGGATTTGTCGACTTCCAGCAGTTACACAACGTGTTTGTCAAGTTCTTCCTATATCCAGGAAGTTTTAGACCGACTTAAAAAAAACAACAACCAGTTGAAAACAAACCAAACTAAAATTTTTTACTGAGATGAAATGACCGAAGAAGTTGAAACGGTAGATTTGACACACACAACAAAAATTCAGAACCATTGTCAAAACCTGTCAAAGAACTTACAGATGAAGAGAAAAATTCAATAATAGAAAGTGCCAGGTCTGGAAATACAAACCCTAACTACAAAGTCACTTTTCATAAAAATGGAACGGCTAGTATCTCAAAAAAGAAACAGACTCTCACAAATAAAATATTGAAGTCTGAAGGAGCTTTCGAGACAACAGATGGAAAAGTTTACTTCACTGACCAACAGTTCATTATAGAACATCTCATTGACTTAGAGTCGAAATATTCTAAACTTTACAACAAACAAAAAGTTGAAAGGAAAACAAAAACAAATGGCATATGATATTTATGAAGATGTTGACGAACAACTGTTCCTGCAAGTGAAGTAAAGTCAGAGGAACCGAAAAGTGACGAAAAACGATAGAAGAAGAAAAACCAAAAACTGAAGATAAACCAAAACCAAAGTTTAGTTTCCAAACTAAACCAAGTCAACCTTCATTAGCTGGTATGGGTTGGCGTCAAAGACTTATGGCAGCAGGCGGTTATGTTAAAGTAAAGAAAAAAATATTTTTTTTTTTTTTATAAAAATGCCCCATATAGAATGGATAGAAAATCTGCTAGAATAAAAGCAGTTGCAAAGATATGGTTGGAGAGTTTCGAAGAAGTTTAAATATAGGAAGGGAAGACCCATAAAAGTCTATGACAAATTGTCTGGTCTTCGCTACGAAATGGATTTGGAAACAGCACGTGCAAATTATCCAAACAGACTAGAGAGGTTAGAAGAAGAACGTCTTATGGACATGCCTTTCGATGTTAGTGAACCTCAAGTTGAAGGACACGACGGCTTTGCCAGATTTACTGGAAACATGACGAACAATTGCATCCTTTGAGAAGGAAAAAAGGTAGTGCAGAGGATGGTCATGCTCCCATGGAAAGAACAAGATATGCATATGAGAAGTACGTGAAGTTAGAAGTCAAATTACATCTGGTCGAACCTTTACAGTAAACTTTGACGAAGGAAAGAACAAAGAAGGCTTCATGGGAGTACTTGCTGCAATTCAAGACGGAAATAAGAAAGGACACAATCTCAGATTGACCATAACAGATTTGGATGGTCACATTTACTATGCACATGGCAATGTCACAACAGCTGCAATGCTTCTTGACGCTTTCAAGACTACAAAGAGAGAACAAATGGTTGACTCCGACTCAGACATTTTGAATGCAATTGAAGGAATTGCAAGTGTCAAGTTCGAATGGTACCAACCTAACCCTCAAGCAGTCAGACAACATGCTGGATACTTCCGTTCATAAATAAGTCTGACATTGACTTGACAAGGTATGGAATTTACAATTCAATTGAAACAATTGTCAACGAACCTTGTATTCTTACATGTCTCAGGAACTCTGGTCTTGTTACAGAAGAGAAGATGAAGTATCTTGAGTCATGTGTGAAGACAAGGTACATTCTCAGAGGTCAATTGGCAAAAATTGCACCGTTGGCAAATGTCAATATCCGAGTCAACATACCTACAGCTAAAGGTTCTTCACATGACGACTATGTTGTTGAGTTCAATTTACCATGGTTGAAGATTGCAATTGTCCACAACCACTTCATGTTGAACGAAAGTCTTACAAACCCATTCTTTGGTAAAAGTAAGTGCAACATTGTCAGAGCTGTAAACATTCTTTTCGAGAAAGGTTTGTTGGAACCAATTCCAGATGACAAGCTGACAGAAACTTTTGTACCAAAAGACGAAACAAACTTTTCACTGTTAGCAAGACCAAAAGTTGTTCCAGACAAAGTTCTAGTACAAAAGAAGTACACAATTCCACAAGGAGTTGGATTGTTCGGATACCAACCTGAACCAGAAGAACTTCCAATGAGGTTGCAAGAACTTCAAGATGCTATAAACAAACTTCCATTGAGACATCCAATTGACGTCAAATTGTATTGGAGAGCATCTGAGTTAGGTCAGAAGGTTTTATATGAAACAGGTTGCTTCGACGATGTTTATGAGATAACAGGAGAAGTTTCTCAGAAGATAAGAGACTCAGTTGAATTTCCACGAACTAGACCAATTGGTTGCGACAAGTTCGACTCAGATGAAAAGATATACTATGTCGACCTTAACGCTGCATACATGAGGTTTGTCCAATATATTCCGACTGGAATTCCAAACGAAGATGGTGAGTTCCCTGGAAGGAACTATACAGTTGGAAAAGTCATACAACAACTGTATGATATTAGGAAAGCTTCAAACCCCAAACTTGCAATGACACTCAAATTGCTTATGAATTCGACATGGGGATATTCCATTAAGAAACCTCAAGAGATGAAGAGTAAACATTATGAGAAGGTCGACAACTTTGTTGAAAGGTTTTCTCCTTTTGTTTTGAAGTACGAATTCACTCAAGGTCAAAGTGGCTTAGTAACCACATTAAACCTATTGTCGAACATTGGTCTTACCCTCAGTTCGCAAAGGCAGTCCTTGACAACTACAACAAATTCTTCTCCGAAGTCAAATCCAAAGTGAAGGTTTACTATGAGAACATTGACGCACTCATGACGAACGAAGAAGGGTACAAAAACTCATTGAAATGGGCATGGTCGGTGAAAAGATGGGTCGATTCAAATTGGACAAAATTTTCACCGAAGTTCATGTCCTCTCCAAGCGTAAGTATTGGGGCATACTTGAAGACGGCACAGAAATAAAACATTGCATGAAATAAAAATTTTTATATTCCTTCCTAGCTAATTTCCGTTTAATTTCATGGTCGCCCTCGGAGTCTTTGAATCGGACAGGTCGAGTTACACCATTCTTGGTCTCAAACTCATATATAACCTGTTTGTCTGTATTTTCGTCGACTATGGCACGAGACACGAACATTGACCAAACGGACAAAAAGTGTCATTTCGGATGGTCAAGCAGCCAATCGCATTCGAGCACTTCGAAGAAGCCTTACGTTCCAAGGGAGAGGATGTCTGGTGCAAGGCAGAGGTCATGAAACTCTACGAGCAGTACATCCTCAATGCCTGGGAGGACAAATCGTCCTTGGATTGGCAATTCTACCAACTCCTCTGGGACGACCTCCTACGCAACTGGATAACGAAAGAGTCCAATTCAAAGGTCGGGAACTAATTTTGCAAATTACCCTTAATTTACATACTTATCCAAATAAACACCTAAATTTACTTGGGGTTTCCCCTAAAATAAATTTTTTTACTCTTAGAACCACTCGAGGTTCTCCTTACGGTTGTTGAGCTTGTCACCGTCAATGTGTCTGACCCTCGTCTTCTTGTCTGGATTTGGAACCCATTGCATACCGACAAGCCTTCCCATGGAAATTGAACCGTAATTCCGAAGGTTAAGGTTCAAGTGTCCCAAGTTGTTGAGGACTGGGGTAAGAACCTTGCCTGTCTCCTTGTTGCGGATTTGGTATGGGTAGGGTTGGGAAATTTCGTAAGCGTCATCGACAACAAGGGTTGCCCAAACTTCCTTTTCTTCGTGTTTCTCTTCTTCTTCTTCCTCTTCTTCCTCTTCTTTGATAATACCTTCGGCAATTCTGTGTTCACGAAGTACGGTGTTGCATGTTCTGTCCTTTCCGAGTACCTTCCAGATGGCGTCTATCTCTTCGAAGAAACGGTAGATGAGTCGGGCAAGGTTTTGGTTCTCTATGTTGTATTGGCGCAAGGTTTCCGCGAAATCGTTCAGGACTTTCTTATTGGAAGCTTGGTTCGTGAGGACTTCGACTTTGAGATTGGTTATCTCTTCCATAAGACTACTTTGGAGAGTCTTAATGGTGTTTGACAGATGAGCGTTCAATTGGGCAATTTGAATTTGAATTGGGCGCTTGTCTGGCAACCTTGAAAGGACATCTGCCATTGTGTTCGGCTTCGGTGCTTGTTCGGACATCGAAAAAATGAAGTGGTTTGAGAATGGCGGTTTTACTTCAAAAAGCTTGTTATGACAGTTATGTCATACAACAAGTTTAAAATAATATCTTGTTCTTCTTCTGAACGTTTGTTGTCTCTTCCGATAAAAGTTTGGAACATGAGAACCAAAAAACGTTTTTTGAGATTGTGGAAGAGTTCAGGCAAACGTTCATATTCCGGATATGTTGGGAGCAGTTCGAAACATCTGAGCTGACTTTCGGACAAAATTGGGACAATGTCAACAAATTCATCTTTGGTCGGACTGCTTGAAGGTAAGTCCCTTACATGTAAGTAGCTCTGGTAAAGTCTTCTCATTTCTGCTAACTTTTGGAGTATAGCTTCGTAGTTTAGAAGTTTTAATTTTAATTGTCTTATTCCACTCTTGACATCTAAACGGTAACTATCCATGAGGTCAAGAGTAGCTTTGGTAGCTTTAAGTGGAGCTATCTGTTCCTTGACTCCTGCAATTTTGGTTGCAATTGTGATTTGAGCTCCTTCAAGTTCGCCGTCTATGTCGTTCTCAACGTCTTCAACTATGGCTTGAAACTCTTCATCGGTCCATTGAGATTGGTGTGGGACGAATTTAACTTGCTTCATTCAAAAAATGAAAAAAATGTTTTTACTCTAAACGTTAAGGTTTACTGAACTGGTTGGATGTCGCCTTCACAGGTTATGTAGAACGGCTGACCCGAGAAGTGAAGGAGAGACTGAATTGCCAATTTCATATGGGGTAGGGGGTTCTCCTTGTTTGGTATTTTTATCCAAGGACGTTTGTTTAGGAACTTAACAAGAGCTTCTCTTTTGGCGTCCTTTATGCCATCGTAGGCTGTCCCGTCTGGTATTTGAATTGGAATTCCAGTCGAAGTCTCGAGCTGAAGTGTAGACCTTCCAGAAATAGTGGTGAACTTGACCTTGGGCTTCATGACTTTGCGCAAGTAGTCTTTTACGCAGTTGTTAATTTCAATTAGGTAAATTGCCTCGTCAAATCCTTCTGGCATTCCGAGTCCTTCCATCCGACAGGAAAATATTTTCCCGACAACTGGAAAAAATTTTCCTTCCGACAGAAAAAATTTTTCCCGACGACAGGAAGAACTCTTCCAGTTGTCCGTCTGTAAACCATTCAAATTTTCGAAAATTGAGAACTTTTTGGTCGAACTTCAGAAAAAGTTTTTCCTTCCGACAGAAAAAGTTTTTCCTTCCGACAGAAAAAGTTTTTCCTTCCGACAGGAAAAGTTTTTCCTTCCGACAGGACACAAACGGATGACTGACGTTCCTCTTCCTGAACGCCTTCCAAAGCCAGAAGAACCGAAAGCTGCAGAACCACAACAGTCTCCTCAGCAACCTCAGTTCCAGCAAGTCCCTCCACCAAATTACTACCAATTTCCACCTCAAGGTTACTACCAATTTCCACTACAAGGCTTCCCGAACTACCCTCCTCCTCAGCCTATGCCTTACTTCCCCAACCCTTGGATGTTCCAGCAAGCTCCACCCCAGCAATTCCAATCTCAATCCAAATCGAAGAGAGACCAAGAGTTCGAAGAAGGTCTGAACCGTTTACGCAAAGATTATGCCACAGCCCCTATGGAAGACGACAGGCTTTCAGTCTCTTCCCTCAAATCGACCGATTCGACTCGTACCACAGATTCAGTTCGTGACCGTGAAGACTACCTCAAGCAGTCTGAGAGACTCTTCATCCTACAACCATTTACAGTTGGAGCTCTCAAGAACATGCGCAATTACGAAGGTCAAACACCGGCTGGAGACAGCAAAACAGACGTACTCGCAAGAGCCGTCCAGCTCGTCAAAACAAAGACTGAGATAGTCGACTTCATTCTTGCAGCTTGCCCATACAAGTAAAAAAAATAAACAATTACGAGTTAAACTTTTTATTCTTTCTTTTCTGAGTTGTTTAGAGCTGGTTTCTCTTGTAGGAACCTTTCGTACTCTTCCATGGTCATGTAATTGCGAATTTTGTACGCAATTCCAGGTTCGTTGTTTTTGAACCTTACGTATGTAACGCTTCCATCCTCCTCAGGGAAGTAAGCTGCTAACATCTGACCAAGTTTTCTCGGTGACTCGGAGCTCATTAAAAATGTCACTTTTTAAACGTTAAGTTTTTAGTCTTATTTTACCCTTTGTTTGTCAAGACTTCTTCGTAATGAGTGTAAAGGACCCAAAAATAAAGTTTAGGTGAAGAAGTGAGATCTCACCTGTTTTTTCACCTGTTTTTTCACCCTCTTGAATTTTCATGAATTTTCCCGAAATAAAAAATAAAGTTAGTTTTATTTTTTTTATTTTTTTTATTTTGTATAAAAAAATAAAAATGTCAACAATCGGCACAACAACACTTCAAACAACAGCACCAAACTCGTTAGTCATGAATCCAACATCTATGTTAGTAGAGATGAAAAGCTTCATTCCTTCTTCATATACTTTTGAAACAGAAATCCAGAAGATAAAGCAAGAACTTTTAACAAGTAATTTAGACTGTAGTGCGAAAGATGAAGAAAATGAAGAATATCTTTATGAAATGCAGGACCTCATCGACCATTTACCCAAATTGCCTGAAATCCAACAACAAAAACTCACTATTCCTGAATTCGACGAAATTGAAGTCAAAGCAACTGACTCAGTAGAAATAAAGAAGTTCATACGAAAGGTAAACTATGAGTTTCTAGGATTTCATTGCAACCATAAGGTTATGGACAAAGATTGCGACATAGTATATAAGAATGTTTCTGACATATATAAATCTGAAGAATTTAAGACCTACGACAACTTTGTTTCGTTAGTTGCTGAATGTGTATGGCAGATAAGAGATAAAGATAGAAGAGGTAAAGTATGGAACAAACAAATAAGACCCGCTATGTTTGAGATGAAGAGAGCAATTGACGCTTTAGTTGTTTTAGCTGGTTTTATTTCAGAATATAACGCAAAAATGAACCCGCAATGTTCTAAATGTAAAGCAGCAATGAGGAAATATAACTACTCCGTCAAAGAGATAGAACGTATGAGAAACGACTATGCAGACTTAAAGACAGATATGTCAAACATTGAGTTTGAAACAGTTAGAAAGATAGACAATGACACCAAATTGGTTAGAATAGGTGATTTAAACGTAAGATACTCAAAGAAATACAACAAATATTTTTTGTCAGACATTATATCTCCATCTGGAAAGAAAACAAACCACTGGGTTAGAAATGCTTCAACTCAGAAAATTTTGACAAGAAATCCTGAGCTTATGATATCGGTAAAATTCTATGGAACTGCAGCATATCTCATCGACAAAAGTCTTATACCAATAGTTTTGTTATGGTTAGACCAGTTGTTGGATATAACTTCATAACATATGGTTCATTCGATACGGAACGTTGCAGTGAAGGCTTACTTTACATCGTTCAGAAACCGAAGGACTTCAATACAAAGAGATATAAGATAGGAAGAACATATAATATAACTCAAAGATATGACAGTACAGTCAATAGAGTCAAGGTTGTGTTTGCTAATGATATGAGAGCTGCAGAAAACAGAACTACTTGAAAAGTTGAGAAATATTTGGTCTCCCATAAAAGGTAAAGAAACGTTTGAAGTAGATGAGATAGATAAAGCTATAAAATTATTGACGAAGTTGCTGAAAAATACATGTAAAGCGTTTATTTTTGGTCTTTTGTGAAAGATAGAAAAAATAACGCTAAAATTTGACGAAGTGCAACCTTCACTCGTGTCATAATGTAAAAATAACGCTAATTTTTATAAAATTTGACGAAGTGCAAAACCTTCACTTCGTGTCATAATGTAAAAATAACGCTAATTTTTTGACGAAGTGCAAAACCTTCACTTCGTGTCATAATGTAAAAATAACGCTAATTTTTTATAAAATTTGACGAAGTGCAAAACCTTCACTTCGTGTCATAATGTAAAATAACGCTAATTTTTGACGAAGTGCAAAACCTTCACTTCGTGTCATAATGTAAAAATAACGCTAATTTTTATAAAATTTGACGAAGTGCAAACCTTCACTCGTGTCATAATGTAAAAATAACGCTAATTTTTGACGAAGTGCAAACCTTCACTTCGTGTCATAATGTAAAAATAACGCTAATTTTTTATAAAATTTGACGAAGTGCAAACCTTCACTTCGTGTCATAATGTAAAAATAACGCTAATTTTTGACGAAGTGCAAACCTTCACTTCGTGTCATAATGTAAAAAATAAACGCTAATTTTTTATAAAATTTGACGAAGTGCAAACCTTCACTTCGTGTCATAATGTAAAAATAACGCTAATTTTTGACGAAGTGCAAACCTTCACTTCGTGTCATAATGTAAAAATAGCGTTTACCATGTAAAACGGTTGTGAAAAAGAGAGGTGAAAAATTAGGTGAAAAAACAGGTGAGATCTCACCTCTTCACCTAAACATTATTTTTATTGAATTCAGCACAAAAATCATGAATTTCCTCATATGCTTGCTTCCCTCGGAAAACCGAGAGAAGAGATTCCGTATGAAAACAGTGAAGAACAGCGAGTAGGTAAGAAACCCCAGTCGCCAAAACTCTATGAAAATCATGAAGAACAGCGAGACCGACTTTTTTCTGGGTCGCCAAAACTCTATGAAAACAGTGAAGAACAGCGAGTACGTAAAAAAACGTAGTCGCCTAAAACTCTATGAAAACAGTGAAAAATAACAGAGTATTTTGACAACTTCAAACAAGTAGGGTAGATGAACCATTTATTTTTCAAGCTTGACTTTTTACAATTTGAACTTTGTTTGCGTAGATATGAATTCTGAAAGAAGTATGAGGGTCTTGTATGACTTTGTACTTCTCCCATAGTTCATGTCTGTCAAACTTACCTGCCATGGACTCTTTCATAAGTTCCATGAAATCGTCTTCGGACAATCCGGGGAAAAGTACAATGTCAGTAAGTATTCTCTTTACATCCTTACTTAAACTCTTTGCTGTCTGTACACAAATGACAACTGAAATGTTAAAGTGTCTGAGCTTCTTGAGAATTCGACACATATCTTGTTCTCTGTTCTTTAACAAAGGATGAGAAGCAAAGTCATCTAAGATAAGAAGACATCTATGAGGGTAAGTCTTCCAATCGTAAGATTGCAATTTCTTCGAAATGTATTCTATCTCTTTCTGTTTGTTTCTGAAGTGTTTCTTCTCTAATATTCTCTGCATTTCCTCATTTGGGTCTTTAAACTTAGAATTTATATACTCATTTATAGCATTGTACTTCAAAACTCTTCTTTGGTACTTCTTTATCCAATCTAACAACTCAGAGTCTTTTATACATACTAACTTAGACTTCTTTATAATATCTTTGAACGAATTGACGGTTTGGTCAAATTGACCAGAAGTACTACAAATAACAACTAACTCATAGAATGGGTTCTTCTCATCTAGTTCTTGTTGTTGTGCAGCCATTTTAAGATAAGTGAAAGTCTTACCCGACCCAGGTGGTGCAATTAGACCTGTTATACCATTCTGAGCAAATAAGAACTTGTCATGTATAGGTTTTATCTGAGCATTTTCTAACTTCACCTTGTTCTTCTTCAAAACATTCTCAAATTTCTTGTCAATGTCAGCAAACTTTTTTTCTAACATATTTTTAGAAAAATTAAAATTTTTATCTTTTAGAAAATGTCTAGCGATTTCGCTATCTATATTCGAGACAAACTTTTCGACAGCAAAACATCTGTCGACCATAAAATCTTACATAGTGTAAACAAGAAAGGTGAATTTGTTCTAAAGTTCTGTTTCTGGGAATATGACAAGAACCATAAAACATTACAAAGAGCAGTCTTAAAATTTGTCAATGACAGACTTGTTGACAGAGATGACGCCGATTGGAAAGATGAAGTCCAACAAAAGTTCTTAGAATGCAAAGAAGACACATGCGCTGTTCTTGAAGATGAAATAGAAAACAGAATAGATGAGCTATTAAAGGACAAAGAACTTTTACATAAATATGGTTCTGAGAAATTTGACGTCTCACCACCAGAAGAAGAAGAAAGAAAAGAAAGAGAAAAAAGAAGAAGAGAAGAAAGAACCTGAACCAGTTCCAGAGAAAAAGAAATTTGACATGTAAAAATAAAATTTTATTTTAGAACATTTCTGGGTCAATGTCAATGTTCTCTTCCTCTTTAGGAGTAAACACTGGCTTAGACTCAAAATCTTTTTACCCAATTTACCTTGAACTTCTACAACTTTAGACTCATAATATTCATAGTCGTCTGCTTTCTTTGGTTCATAAGGTATAACAAGTTTGTATGCTTTGCCTTCTTTAAGGTTTGAAAACCTTCTGTCAAAACTTTCTTTGACTGCTAACAAACCTTCTATGTCTAAGTCTTCAAATTTCGCACCATTTTTAGTCACAATAGCAAACTTAACTGGTTCGATGTTCCAAACTTTGCTGAATGAAGACTTTTCAAAATGGTAGAAGTAAACATTCAAATATGTGAATGGGTCTAGTTCTTCTTTAAGTCCTGACATGTACTTGTTTACTGAAATATATTTCGTCATCTTTTCTATCGGATAAAAAAATATTTTTTTTAAAATTTACTCATAAAAATTATTTCTTTATATATTTGCCATTCCGAACTTCGAAAAGATGTTTTATACCAGCATAGAATTTTTCTCTAGAGCTTGGTCTTATATCGTTTTCATGACAATATTTTCTATATTCTTCATATAAAGCCTTTTTTTCATACATTTCATAAGGACAATCTAACCAGAATAGCGCATATCCATTTTCGTTATCTAGGTCTCTATATGTTTCTTCTGTTTGTAGAATTTCGCTTTCTTCTGTTTGTAGAATTTCGCTTTCTCTATTTAGTTCTATGTCTATATATTGTGGCTTAAAAAGATGTGGGCAAGAAGGGTCTGGCGCTATGTAAAAAGTTAATTTTTCTGTCATCTTTTCTATCGGATAAAAAAATATTTTTTTTATAAAATTTACTCAGAAAAATTTTTCTTTGTATATACACCTTTCTGTACGTCTAAAAGACTTTTGACATTTGCCAAGAATGTTCGTTTAGACGCTGTCATATAACCATATTCTTGACAATATTGTTTATACGAATCGTACAATGACCTTTCATCTAATGACACAAAGTCAGTTTCATCTATGAACAGTTCATATACACTCTTGTTTGCTTCTAACAATGTTTGTCTCTCTTCTGTATGTGGAATTTGTCTTGGATTGAACTTAGAAATATCTAATGTCATAAAATATGAGAACAAGTGGTTGTAAAAGTCAGATGTCAAAGTTTCTGCTAAGTCGTCAAAATATTCTGTATCTTGCATATGAGAATCTGACGTTCTGACAACTACATATCTTCTGTCAGAACTTTCTAACTTCATCGGAACAGCATTGTTTGAAACCATAATGAAGTTTGCAACATTTTCACAAACTCTTTGGTCTTTATATTTTCTTTCAACAACTCCAACTTTGTCTGTTATAAGACTCTTCAAAGCATCTGAGTTCAAAACTTTTGTTGTATCTATACTTTGAAGTTCATTGCAAACTATAAGTTTCATATTCTCTATTGAGGAGTTAAATTTACCACAGATGTTTTCTAAGTTTGTCATATTCGGGTTCGAATAGCCCTCTAACAGTTTGCACAAAATATCTGTAAAGAATGTGTTCTTACCAGTTCCTTGTTTTCCAATTATAATGAGAGCAGTTTCATTTTTAGCACTTGGATGTTGTAAGATATTTGCAAACCAACATAAGATATACTCATAGACTCTTTCGTTTCCATTGCATATAATTTCTTTGACATGGTCTAACCAAGCTTCTATAATATTTTCTTTCCATTCTACTTGTTCATATTTATATCCAGTGAAGATAGAATAGAAGTTTGGAGAAGGTGTATAGAACTTTATACCTCGAACTGAAAAATCTTCTAACTTTGACAATAAGATATCCCAAGCATCTAACATCTTCATTCCAACTTGTACAACTTTTATTTTCTTAAGTTTCTGTCTACATTCTTGTTCTGAAACTATTGTCGCTTTAGGTTTGTTAAAGACTACATCCCATTCTTTCATAACATAACATTCTGGGGCAGAGTCGACATAAATGACTAAACGTTTCAAATTCTCGACTGCTTTGTTATAGTCTCGAAATGGACACATATTTCTGAATGCTTGGAAGTCATAAAAATCTGAAACATCTATTCTGTACATTTTTATAAAAAAAAAAAAAATATTTTTTTTTATTCTTGACTTTGTTGTTGCATTTGTTGCATTTGTTGTTCTTGAGCTATTTGTTGTTGAAGTTGTTCTTGTAATACAATACTTTCACCAGTTGCATCTTCCAATTCGAAACTTTCTGCCGTCATTGACAAATACATAAAATTTTACAGGAACAAAGTTTGCGTCAACTAATGTCAACGTTATACTTGCCAATGTGTTTGAGTTCACTAAGGTTGAAAATTCTGCATTCGAATGAACAATAGGCAAACCAGCAGAGAAAGTATTGTTTATACGCATAAGTATCTTTTGGTCATAATAGTTTCTGTCGACATTCGAATAACACTTTGAACCTAAGTTTGAAACAATATATAAGATTGGTGTGCTTAATGTCAATGGAATAGACATTCCTTGTATGACACATTTTCCTGTTATAGGAAACTGTTGGTAGTAAAAACCAGAAATAAGTTTTGTATTATAGCTCATATCGTTTATAGTAAACTCAGTCGACATCCAAACATAATGAAACCTGCTCTAGTTGCAGCACATGTTACACCCGTACTTAAAGTATTAAATAAGTCAACAAAACCTGTTGGTGGTATATCTGAGTAAGTATCTTCAAAGGAGTATTTTTTACCATTCACAACAATAAAGTCTTCTGGTGTCAAAAGAGCAAAACAGGCTTTAGTCGTCATTGTGTTTAAGGTTAGTTTACAATATCGTCCTTGAGGACTTTGTAAGTTTGTTGTTATAGAATTATATGACTCAGGGTTTTTAGTCGTAATAGTATAAACCATTATATCTTCTGCCATTTATATATATTTAAAAGTTTTTCTGAAAGTGGAGAAGAACTTCATCTAAACTTTCACATGGCGTTTCTTGAAGTTCTCTGTCTAAGAAGTTCAAATATTTTGTAAAGACATAGAACTTTCCTTTGTCTACACGAACAAACAAAACAGGGTCTTTCATATCGTTCAAAAGTGTGTAAAGTCCTTTACATGAAATAAAGTCTATATTTTTTTCTTCAAACATCTTTCAAGAAGTTTTGACATTTTTACTTAGCAAATAAATTTTAATGAAATGTTGTGGTCGTCAAATATTTTTATGACGTCTGGGAAACTATACTTTAAGTTCAACGTTTCACCTCCTTTCATAACGTATATCTTGTCAATGACATTATATGAAACACCACAGCAACTAATGTCGGGTTCTATTTCTTTGATGTTTATATCGTCTGCCTCTGTCAAAAGTTTCAATAGTTCTTTCAAAACTTCATGAGGTGCAATGACATATGAGTTCACTTTTACAGGGTTGTGTTCGACCAAGTTTAACATTATACTTAAAGCTTGACAAATCTTCTCCTGAGTTTGAAGTTTGTCTTTAAGTTGTTGGTAGTCATTTCGAATATCTGCAACAGAACTTAAGTCTCTGCTAACTTCAGGATATGTTGTTGTTCTTTACAGGAACAATTGTTATACCATCTTCGTCCTCGTATGGTTTCCCCACTTCAACATCTCTGTCTTTGACATTGACAATAACACTTTGACTGTTTGTTTGAGTTGGTGAATTTAACTTCACATCTGCCACCGCCATTAAACCTTTTGAAACACTTACGCTTCTATTTTTCGGAAATGACATTTTACTTAGAATAAAAAGATGGACGTATTCGAGTATCTCTTCGAATTGAAGCAGAACAAAGTTTACACACACAAACAATACAAATACATTGACAGAATAGTTCTTTATACAAACAATGGTAAATGTTATAGAATAGCAGTCTTTGCTGAACCAAAATATTTTCATAAAGCAAAGAAAGTTGGTATAACTGAAATGGTGAAAGTTCTTGAAGCAGACAAAAATATAACTTCAAAACTTACAGATATTTCTAAAGGAAAGTTATAATACAATATTATGTCAAAACTGGCGTACTGTCAATATTTGACGGAGAGAAGTCAGTTCAAGAACAACTTACTGACCTGCTGCCAAAATCTGCTCGATGGAAGCTGTCGTTATGCCAATCTGAGGAGCCCCAGCAGGTTTCATCGAACGAATCTTCAAAGAGCATCTTCCGTGAAAAGTGCTATTGTTTTGTAAACTTCTTTGCTCTCAGTTCATCTGGACCGTCTCTGTCACCAGTATATTGTATTTGTACAGTACCAACAGTTGAAATACCACCCATAAAGTCTTCTGAGTCAGCAAATGGAATGCCAAGCCAAAAGTTTGAACGGTCTCCATTTGTATATTGAGTTTTTTGACCTCCTGTATGAGTCCATACTTTCACATATGGCATAATAGAACTTTGCATTTCAGGGTTAATGGTTGTTGTGAAGTTGTTGTTAAAGTTCATAGCATCTAATGTCAAGTTGTATGACCTCATATCCTCAACTGTAGAATATTCTTCTCTTGGATAATATTTGCCATCTATGTTTATATGATATTTAATACCGGGGTTGTAGAAACAAGAATAGTCATTTATAGTTCGTCTGAACAGTACAAACATAGTATCTGCATGTTTCATTGCAGTTGTTAAAGCAATATCTGTTCTTGCACCTGGGTCAGCACTTTGGTTTCCAACTTCACCTGCAAAGTCTTTGACAGATATTTGGTGTATAGGGAACATAAGTGGAACTGCAATATATTTGGCAGCTAAAGCATTTGAAATATCTGGGTCCAACATATAGACTGCAAGTCTGCTTTCTATTCTCTTGCATTCAAATTTTTCGCATGTGAACTTAACTGGGTCCCAAGCAGTTCCAGCAGCATTGAAATAATAGTTTACTTCATTGTTGAAGTTTGAGAAACCAAAGTCTAAGTCAACTTTGTCTTTGCAAAAGTCACAGAACTTGGCTCCACCAGCTGTATCTGTAAGAGTGAATGGGTCTTGTGTTGGTGCAATGACTAAGTTATTTTTGCTTGGAGTAAGTTCAATAGAAATTTTTCCTGCCCAGTTTGGCAAGTATCTTAAAAACCTGAAGATGAGGAAAGATGACAAAGGAACTCTAAGTTTCAGTTTTACTTTGGTTACTGCTGCTGCAGTTTGTCCAGAAAGGTTAACATAAACTCCTGGAACGTTAGGGTCAAGTCTTCTTATTTTCTCAATATTTGCATACTGGTCTGTTTGTTCTCTAGCTTGTGGTTGTACTGAGTTTCTCAAAGCGAACCATTCATAGTTTGCCCATGTTACTGTTTGAACTAAGTCAGAGTTAGAATATATCTTATATCCCATAAAAACTTCTGGAGCATATTGGTATCCGACATAGAAAATTCCATTGCAACCTTTCTTGTCAGACAACTTGGCAGAAGGTTTTATTTCAATGTCTTGTTCCACGTATAAGAATGAGTTGTCAATAGAAATAATATGAAACCTGTCGCAAGCAATATCTACTGTTGTTGAAGAACCTTCTCCAAACTCACCTACGTTTCCATAAGAAACAGCAGTTGTATATTCGTAAGTTCCAGGAACTATTTCTGACCTTCTAATGGCATTGTCGCATTCGTTATACCATTCGGAAACATTTCCGTTCATGGCATCCAAAACTGTTGGCGTTATATTCTGAGCGGCGTACATTTCATATGGGTAAAAATATAGAATAGTTGGATTTATTTGTCATAATTGTTTCGGACCAAGCTTTACTTTCTTCCTGACTGAGTTTTTAACTCTTCTTTTTCCTTCATTGCCACTACTTTCACTAGATGAAGTTACTTCTTCACTATTTTCACTTTGTTCTACTCTTCTTCTTTGGTGTCGCTTTTGGTAACTTGCCCTCTGCTTCAAGTTGTTGCATCTTTGCCTCATGTTTACCTAGTATGTTGTAAATTTCCCATGTCCTTTTTGCCTTTGGGCTCTGGTCGCCCATCTCAGGTAACCTATATCCTAGAAAGATTTTGTCATAGTTTGTATTTGAGTCTTCGCGTATTGTTTGCATGACTCTTTCCTGAGTTTCCGGTTCAAGCTCTTCAAACAGAGCTTGTCCATATGGAAAAGCTCGTTTCCAAATATATGTTTTTGTAGCCATTCTGGTTTCTTTCCATGTTACCAATAATATCTTTTGTGAATGGAAAGCTTTTACCCAATGTTTCAGTCTTGCGTCATTTATTTCTGTAGTTGGTTTTATTTTGTCAAGAACATGTTTTTCAATACTAACATTTCATTTGGTACTGTCCATTTGAGTTTTCTTAAATATTCATCCCTTCTCGGTTCATTGTCTGCAAAGTAAGTTTTTATGACATTTTGTAAACTTTCGTTGCAAGGTCATGTACAATAGGTTCTCTTCCTTCTCTCTCCCTAACTTTCTTTCTAAACTCTTCACCAAATATACCATCTCTATGGTTCTGTGTAGTTCTTTGAGATAAATGTTCTAGAACGTCAGGTGTTATATTTCCATCAGCCATGTTCATTTCATACTGGTCCAAAATATCTGCATGTTTCATATCTTTCAATGGCATTAAAGCCGCGCTGAAATACCAGCTATATCTGGTTCACCATTCACTTCCATTGCGTCTACAACTTCTTGGAATTTGGTTGTAAGTTTATGAACCACCTATCCGGATTAGCTTTATGACCCCATCATTGTAGTTCCATAGTCTGCAGAAACAAAAGTAGGTTGTTTCCATATTGGTTAGGTTCTGAATGAACTTTAAACAATGTTTCATTTCTATATGTTTTGGTGAAATTTAACCTTTTATTTTCACCGAGTTCAGCCAAAGATTGAACGTTATATGGTCGTAAGAAAAAGGATTGTTGTATTTGCGTACACTTTCTTTCAGTTCTTCCATTCTATGCTGAATATTTTCATCTGATGTTGGATCTTTTGTATGTCGGCGAACATTTTTCGATATTCTTCTACTATGTCAGCCGAATTTTCTTAGACTCTTGGAAAGATTCCATATTCCCCGCATACACTTGTTGAGGGTCAAGATTTTTCGGCTGTTCCAAATCTTCATCTAGTTCTGTGAAGTTAGTTTCCAAAGGAGGAACTTGTTCTTTCCTTCAGGCTCTTCTAGCTGTTGTTGCTGAACTATTTCTTCCATGTCTGGTTGTATCTGAACTTCTTCCTGTGGAGTTTCTTGTACCTCATCTGCTGGCATTTCATATATTCCGAGACCGTTTTTAAAAAGTTCCCTATCTAAGTCATCCGGACTCATAAACCTTTCTTCTTTCGTTCCGTCTCTATTTTTTACGCGTTTCATGAAGAGAGTTGAATTATCATTTAGCTCTGACACCAAATATCTCGGAGTAAATTCAGTCATGTCATTTGGATGATATGCTATTAAATCATATCCCTTAGCGAGCTTGTATTTTCCAGGTTTGAAATTATATCCCATTTGGTGCTGAACCATAAAGCTAAATAGGTTCGGGTCAGCATTTCCTTCCTTGAACTTTTTAATAGCTTCTTTATATCTGTCACTAAAGTCAAGAGTATCTGGTAACCATAGTCTTCCTTAAGCATTTTTAAGAATTCTTGGTTTCCTTGTTCTCTACTTCTTTTATGTCCTTGCTCTGTTTGTGGTTGTTGCTGTGCAGTGTTTTGAACTGTTGGTTGCTGTGCAGGGTTTTGAACTGTTGGTTGCTGTGCAGGGTTTTGAACTGTTGGTTGCTGTGCAGTGTTTTGAACTGTTGTTGTGGTGCGATTTTGAACTGTTGGTTGCTGTGCTGGATTTTGAACTGTTGGTTTTGGTGCATGCCTGTGTCTGTGTCCATGTGACGATGTAAATGTTTTAGGTAGTCCTGCAGGTGCTTCTCTTGGAGGGTTTGGTGGTATATAAGTTCCACCAGCTGGCACATATGTTCCATCTGCAGCATAATGTCCTACCTGACTTTTCGTTCTTAAGAAAGCATTTACTAGGTCTGTTTTGGTCTGTTGTAACTCTTTTTCTTGACTTTCCACAACAGTTGCTCTAACGGCGTCATAGGCACTTTGAACTGCCTGTCTCGTTGCTGCATCTGTTATTTTCGTCATATTTTGTGCTACTTCTCTTAACTCGTTGTCGAAACCTTCAGACTTCAGTTTCTTTCCAGATGAGAAGTCGTTCACTAGTTTCACCTTACTATGAAGAGCTTCGAAGGCGTTCTTAAAGTCAGCATTCATTAAAGCTTCATTTGAACTGTCTTCATCCGCTTGTATTTTTGTCCTTATTGACCCTATAAGTTGGGCTGCTTTGGCGTTGGCTTGGGCATCTAACCAGTCATTATTAGCTTTATATATTCTGCGCTTTTCATTGCCTTTTGCATGGCTGCGTCGTTATTTTTACTTTCTTGTGCTAAGTTTTCATACTGTACGGTTTGGTTTTGCAACTGTAAAAGTTTTTCTGCCTTTACATTTGCTTCAACTTCTTTTTTATACTCATCGCTATCCATATATGTCTTCATGGCTTTTTGTTTATCTCTTCATCTTTCAGTACTTTATATTGAGTAGTATGGTTTTTTCAAATTTATAACATCTTGTTCCATTTTTGCTACTTCTGCTGCTTTTTCTGACACTTTTTTCGCATATTCCTCTGTACTTAGTTCTTTCAGTTGTTCTTCTTTCTTCTTTTTCTCTACGTTTAACTCATTGAGTTTCTTTGTGTGTCTGTCATATTCTAGTTTCTTTTCGTTTTCACTTATTTGTTTCTGTATGTCTATGTTTGACTTTTTGACATCTGTTATTTGATTTTTGAGTGAACTCAAATTCATTTGACTTTGAGGGTTATAAGCTGTTCCGTCTGCAGCTCCACCATAGCCTGCCATTTTCGCTAAAAGTGCCGCTCTTAAACCTCCACTCTGTGCACCAATAACTCGGTTTAAAAGCATAGGGTTGCTTGACATTTGTTGCAACATAGTGGGGTCATTCATAATTTGTTGTTGCAACTGTTGTTGTGGTGTCAGTTTTACTATTGGATGTTTCAATGCTCTCTTCCTCTTACGTATATTCTTACGTAGCTTACGTGGCATTTTAAGTGAAGTTAAAAAGCGGTTTTTGACAGATGTTTATATGACACTTTTTGTTCAGCACAAAAAACTACTCGGTCAAAGTGTTGTCAGTTTTGTAAAATAACCGTCTTATCTCATTCCATAAGGGAGAAAAGGCTTCTCAAAGTATACTTCCGTGGAACGCCTGTAACTTTTCCTGTAGCGACGATAGACCCTTACTTGTCCGGACAAAGTTATACTAAACATCTTCAGGGCTAGAGGGCACGAAGTGCCTGGAGGCCCCACTACTTTTTTTTTGATTTAAATTCAATTGGCATAGTCTTTGCATGTAATATTTTATCAAAACAATTTCTGATAGTATTCAAAAATAACCTTATTACAGTAGAATTGATAAGATTGAAATGGAAAATCGGTAAAAACCGACTACGAAAATCACCGGTGATAAAATCGGAAATTTTTATGCAATTTTTGACTGAGTTCAATAACTGTATACATCATAGGGAATATTATCGTACAGTTAACTAAAATTATTCGATCATTTTGAAAAACTCACAATTTCTTCATTATGATTATCAACTCTCATAATATCATGTAATTAATCATATAGTGATCTATTACACATATGGGTTTATTAATGACATCTTTGGAATTTGAAAAATTAATCTTTCTGATATTAATCGGAGATTTTTAAGTATGGCAATGTATTAACCAGCTAAGATATATCAAAATTAAATAAAGAAATTGATATAATAAAAAATAATTTTGCGAATTTTATCAAACAAACATACAAATAATTTTTATTTATCAACAGTTTTAACAGTCATTTTCTTCTTTCTCGATTTGAGTTTTCTAACAGGAACGTAATCCAAATTATCTTGTTCTTCGACTGTTGCCATTCTCTTTTTCTTTTTAACCTCTCCAGTAACAGCAATGAAATCATTCTCTCCTGCATTTCTCAGGGGTGTTTTCAGCTTCGGTCTCTTTTTAGAAGTACTTGGTTTCTTTTTGAAAGGAGTTGAAGGTCCTGGATCCAAAGTATTAGGTGTTCCTTCCTCAGTGTACCCATTACCTTCATCTTCTGGTTCTCTAAACAACATCGGAGAAAGAGGAGGAGCAGGAGGTAAATCTTTTCTTTCTTCAGACTTGTAGTCATCCAAACTATACGTTTCATATGAAGAGGCGAAGTTTGAAGATAATGGTAGTGATATTGGCTGGGGAAGAGAAGCGTGTTCGTTGTGGAGATAATCTCTTTTTAATTTCAATCTCTGAGTATCTGAGTTCCACGGGAAGCAGTGTAATAATAAGGAACAGAAGTTATAATGGATAGGAGTCATTGTAACCTTCTTTGATTCAGTTAGAAGAAAATAATTTTTCGAAATCGAGTCATGATTAGAAGATATGAAATTCATTACATGATTTAAACTATCCATTACTTTGTCTTTACTTGTCTGTGCAAAACGAGGAATTTGTTTTACTTCGGATAATTTATATAAAAATATTTCGATGTGAATCTGGTAATGGTACTTCAAATGCTCATCAAGGAACATGAAAAACGTATTGTGATACTCCATGAGCTGTAATTCCATTGCTACTTCGAGAAGAGTTTCCATTTGACTGACAGTTCTCGGATTTTGAAGGGAAAAGGTCGGATCATACAACGTTGGAGTTGTAAATGTTGGTTTTAAGATGCAATTAATGAAAAAGGAAGCAATTGCTCGCGTAACAATATAAGATTTGTTATACTTAGTAGCTGTGTACATTTTAATGATGTGGGCAATAAATTTGACCTCATCAGGTATATCTTGGACAGTTGAAATCAAATATTTCAATGCAGAAGTAAATTTAATTTGAACAACATCTTTTTTGCATTTGTCGGGCTTGTTGAGGTAGAGATCGCCTGAGTTATCAATATATTTGATGATTTTGGACAAGGAATTGTCAAAAAAATATTTAATAAAATTTGCGACAAATTTTGTCAAAAATTGTGTGCAAGGAGAGTCTGCTGAGAAGAGATTATCTGCTCTTTTGGTATTTTCGAGTTCTAGTGATACAATTGTTTCGATAAGAAGCTGTGGTGAGCCATTGTATAAATTTATATGGAAGAGCGATTCAGAAATCTCTGAAAAGCTTTCTTTTTTGGTAGACATCAGTATCGATCTAATTAAATATGTATCAAGTGCGTTTAAAAGATGAAATAATGATATCAGTAAAATGTCGGGGTATTTTTGTGATTTATCTGTAAGAAAGTCGATAATATTTATCTGCTTTTCTTTGTTTTCGTTCCAAAGTTTAATATGCTTTGGATTTATTGGTCGAAATTTTACATTTTCTTTTTGGTCATGATTTACGATAATTCCTGTATCAGATATAGTTATACTTTGTATTTTCATGTGTTTTACTAACTCTAAATCAGAATTATTATGAATTAAATAATAATAAAATTCATCCTTAGAATCTTGGATAGCCCAATATGTATTTTTGCCGTCTTGACATAGAGATACACATCTTAAAATTGATGATGATTTAGAATTTTTCTCCGTCCAATACTTTGGAAATAACATTCCACAAATCCACTGTAAAAAGGTAGTTGGACTACTTACTTTCTTTAGTGTTCGTGCAAGAAACACAAGTAGATACTTAATTTTTGAGTTTTTCGATGAGATTGTAGGTGGCCAATTTGTAACTAATGTTGTGATGCTTTCGCCAAGCAAAACGCTCTGAACTTTTTCTAATAATTGTCTAGTTTCTGATTGCTCTATATCAAACATATTATCACAATTGATTTTTTCAAAATCTTTAAGACAAACTTTCATTGCAGTTGATTGAGTTAAACCACCTACATCTTGTGATTCTTCTGAGTTTTCCGGAAGCAATTCTTGAAGAACTGTCCTTATAATATGTGAAAAATCAACGAAAATCTCTTCATTCATTTTGAAAGGCGTTTTATTTTCGTTAAAATCTTCGACTTGAAATAAGTAAAATCGGGTGTTAAAGTAGCAATATTATTTTGAAAATTTCGATTATTAGCCATAATTATTAATTAGTAAATATTCAAAAAAATTTAAAAGCAAAGAAACCAAATCATATAAAATATTGCTATCTTTAGGTATGTATTCATTTGGAATATGCTAACTCATCTTTTTACACTATCAATAATAATAATATTAGAAGAAAAACTTTTTACTTGAATGCAACTTTGGAAATATGAATAATATCCTGTTGTATATGTTTGCAAACAAAAAGGATAATTGCTCAGCAAGATGGAGTTGATGAAGACATGTTAATCATTTATTTAGTCAATTTAAGCATGCATTTGAATCGTAAAATGATTTTTTGAACACTTCGCACAACTTTATTAGCTCCTTTGCTTTCAGCAATAGAAGAAGAATATGATTTACATCTTCCAGATGATAAATAATATCCAGAATTACAAATAGTACATGACGTTGACGAAGTACAAGTTGAGCAATTATCAACATTTTGAGCAATCCCCTGATGCTAAATAATAGCCATCTGAACAATGGTTGCATCTTGAATTGCTGCATTGATCGCATCCAGACGGTGAAGAACATGATATACATCTTCCAGATGATAGATAATAACCATCATTACAGCGTGTACATGATGAAGATGAATAGCATTGTGCACAATGATCTAAACATGAATGGCACTGACCTTCAGATAAATAAGTTCCTTGAGAACAACCTTGGCATGAAGTAGATGATGAACATGATAAACATGAAGGAGAACAAGGTTCACATCCAGGAGAATCATGATATGGTAAATAATATCCTCCGGGACATTTATCGCATCAAACTTTACCGGAGGCATAATAATGACAATTTGTGCAATTATAACAATCATCTCTTATAATCCTCACTGTGCCAAATTTTGAATAGTTTTTGCGTTGTATTTCGCCGTGCTGTGAACTAATAAATATCGTATTTTGTTTTGAATCAATAGATTTAATATTTTTCGAAAATATTTTAGAATTATGTTGATATTCTTGAATTATCGTGTTAAATCGATCATTTGAATGTAATATTTTATTTGATTTCTCTGTTGTGCCACCAAGTGATATAAGGAGAGCTGTTGTTTTTGTGAGTTTGATTCTTTCTTGTGAAACTTCCCAGAAACTACCATGTGAATCTTTTTGTTCACCACTGTGTGCTTCAATGATGTAATTGCCTGATTCAACGTTGATTTTGTAAGGTGTACAATCGTTTGAGTTTTTACAAGGATTAAGAAACTCATAATAGTTTTGACTAACAACAACATTAGGTGACCCTTTTGATGCATCAAGTAAACTTATTTGTTGAATGCAAAGACTTAAGTTTGTTGATGAAAGGGAATCTCAATGCAAAATTTGATTGACTGTAACGATTATTTCGCATTCAAATTTTCTTTTTCAACGATAAAAAATTTTTGATTTTCAATTTTTTTTTCTCAACTTCTCTTCAAGTGGCTATTTTCAGATTTTTTCTTCATTTCATCGTTTGATTATCATCCATCGACAGTAATTTGTCAATTACTATTTCATCAAGAAAATATTTCAAGATTCTAATACTTTTTTTTCAAAATAACTATCATAAATTTAAATTCCATTAAAATTCCTAGTTTGCAAAAGCAACAATTCCTTTCACAACAACAGATATACTGATAGGAACTTAAAAATCCAATTAAAACACGAGAATGCGACTCATCCAAACGATATCCCACTCAAAACAATAAATATTTACGAAAATGTTGGTTGGCTGTTAATATATCGTGATAGATAAAGAATTCCTAAATATATTTTCGAATTAATGCAAAAAATACATTTATATCGAAAAATAAGTATAATGATTTGCTTTCATATATACGTTTTTGACAATATAACTTGGTGGTTATACACATATATTTCATATTTTTTCTTAAAAATGCTTTTCTTCTAAAAGATACAACAGAAAATGAACAAAACTAGAGTAAGAACATCATAGGGCATAGGATATTTTTGTTCTAATTTACTGATTATTATATTTACTGCTTTTCTCTGTCGAAGAGGCCATTATCAGAAAATTCTTTTGATTTGAGTTCAAAAATGAGAAAATATATTTACCTCTCTATATTGCTTTTAATGTGTAAATCCTTTTTAGTTGAATTTGCTGAAACTATATGTTTATCAACGATTTTTTTCAGAAATTTGAACATAATTAACATGAAACTGCACGATTTTTGTAATTCATAGTGTGGAGTTCTAAATTGGAAAAAATAGAATTTAGATCTGAAACTAACAAAATTTTTAATTTATTGTTGGGGCATTTTCTTAGGAGAGGGTAAATTTGAATACCATTCAAAAGTAAAAATTCACAATTTGTTCGATTTGGACATATAATCTATTATTATATATAATGTAATTAAGAAAAAAAAATAAAATGACCTGCATATATTAATTATTTAGATTGCAAGATTCAAAAAAGCTATTAAAATTAGAGACTAAATAAATAGCGAATTGATTCATATGGATTTATGTAATTGTGAACATTAAAAGAGTTTATTTATTGATCTAATAAAAAAAGATAAAATATTAATGAGAAATTTGAAAGAATAGAGTGTCCCATTCACTCGTGTTGGTCGCAATGTATCATTCTGGGAGACATTGCCTCTGCATGTCTCCCACAATGGCACAATGTTCCTTGGAGAAAGACCTGGAAGGGGGTCCTTTCTCAAGGTCAGGGCCCCCTTCTAGTCTTTCTGGTCCTGGAAGGAGCGCTTCTGACTGGTCTGTGTGCTGCTTCCAGGAAGATCAGGAGATTGCTCGAAGTTCGCGGCAAGTGCATTCCGACACCACAGATGCACTTGCCGCAACATATAATTGCGAGTGTCTGCTGCTTTGGTCAAAAGAAGCAGCAGACACTCGCAATGCGAACCGAATTGTCCCAGAAAGACCTGGAAGGGGGTCCTTTCTCAAGGTCAGGACCCCCTTCTAGTCTTTCTGGTCCTGGAAGGAGCGCTTCTGACTGGTCTGTGCGCTGCTTCCAGGAAGAACATGAGATTGCGCCAATAAGCTCCTATCAACAAATTTTGACTAAAAATATAAAGTATCCTTTTGTGATTTAACGAATAGCTCAATTTTAAAATAGATTTGATTCTAATAATAAATTGAATGAGTTTCGCTTACGTTTAGAATTTAATGATTTATATGATTTTTTCGTTCACAGAAGAGTCATTGATATCCAATATCAAAAAAACAGCAAAGACACACCATAATAAATGATATTGAAGCTAAATATTACATATTTCAACATATCTAAAAAATTATTATAAGATTAGATCTCATGCAATGCCGAGCAGTTTCCTAAAGCATAATTACTTATTTATACAGAATCAATTATATAATATTCACATTGCAAATTATATACATTCTCACGAAGCAACATGAAATAGACTGTCCGAATTTGAATTCAAATAGAGATCTACTTCAAAAGGATTTCTTACAATATGTAATCTCGATGTTGATCACTGGAATACAAGGGATGCACGTAATTTACAAATTGTTGCAAAAATAGTAGTGCAACAAAAATTTTATTTTTAGCTTGTCACTTGATATATAACAATTGCAAAAACTCAATCAAAAATAGGATTTGAACAACTTTTTAAAATTGTGAGAAAAATTCTATCGGCACATTCTATTCAATTTTAAAGTATTTCTTTCATATTCCAATCGATTATTCAATATTTGCCAATCACAAATTTTAGTTCAAAATTCAAAAAATCCCTAATTTTAATTTCAGATGAAATCTCGCAAAAATAACATTGTTTTAACCATATAAATATATATTTTATATATTGTATAGTGATTTTTTAATATTTTTATGAGTAAAATCGAGAGTGAGGAAATGTGAACTACAAAAAACGATAGAAATGAATAGTTTACATGGGAATTCAATACTTACAAGTATTCAATGTCACTTTTGTGCTCGAGATTTTGACTCTAGTATATTTTTGAAATTGAACTGGTATTGTATAACAAGACATATAAAATAATTAAAAAATTTACCAACGGCGTAATTTCATTCAAAAACAATATTGAAAAGAAAAGTGGTTTTTATTGTTTTTTTTTAAATATATATATATTTCAACAATGATGTAAAATATGAATCTTTTAAAAAAAGCAACAAAGTTTTCATGGCCAAATCATTGAAAAGTTTGAATTATTAAGGGGAGTTATGGGGTATTATTATTGTCGTCTGGCGGTTTTAGACGACAATGCGAATTTTCAAATAATAGGATTTTTAGCCAGATAAAGAGCTACTCCATATATCATGCGTGTTTGCATACTATATACATAGATGGAATTGATGTTCTTCCTTTATTTAGGTACCGAAACATGCTTGAAAAATCTATTTTTTAGACGACAATGATAATTTTGTCACTTTTCCAGACGACAATAATAATTTGTCACTTTTTTAGACGACAATAATAATTTTGTCACTTTTTCCAGACGACAATAAAACATCCTCGGGAGTTATACTTGAAAATTTTGAATTATCATTGAATTATTAAATAGGAATGATATTTTGTAAACTATTGAAATTTTATTAAAATAAAATAGTTAAGTGATATACACATCAAATAATTAAATAATTTTATCTGCAACCGCCAAAAATTTTATTTAAGTATACCGTTTGATAATTTCATTTTCTTTAAATGCTATTCAGTGCTTTAGTAGCTAATGTGGCGTCAGCTGCAGATTTAGCTGGATTTGATTATGCTACTAAGTTTGCTTCTGAATGTGATTATTGGTTATATCCAATGTGGACAGTGGATTATTCATTTTATAACGTCGAAGCTGGAAAAACCCTATGTATAGTGGGGTCTGTTATCCTTGGTGCAAACACATCTTTTAAAGCAACTGCTTATTTCCCCAAAATATCAAGTACTGCCAATG